GTTTGGGAGTTTAGGGTTTATAGGGTGTAGAGGGTTTAGGGCTTAGGGTCTAGGGTTGTTCCAGATGCTCACAGGGTTTGGGGGTTTAGGTTTTCGGGCTTTTAAGATTTGAGCTCGACGATGCAGCGTTTTCGAAGTATTGGCTGAGGGCCCGACGCGGCATTGGTGATCATGTTTCCGCCTATAGTTCTAGGGCTAGCTCAAAGCTTCGTTCTTTTAAATTTGGGTTTCGAACAGAGTCGTTTTGATCCGTGTAGAGTCTACAAGTGTTTCATAGGGGTTGTAGGATTCTGGGTTGGAAAATGGGGATCGGGGTCTTGGTTTGGCGGCGAACGTGTGTGAGTTTGCATTGTGGTAACTCCGGCAGCCCAGGAAAACCAGCATGAATGCACAGTTGGACGGTCGGGATCGGATCGAATGTTCGTACCACTGCGCATCGATTGACTGTGCTTTGGGGTTCCAGGGATGTAACTGAGGCTGCAGGCACTTCTTTGCTCGTATGTAAGTCTAAGGCTCACGCTGAAGATCATGCCGCTTTGCCTTCTCGTGAGACGGAAGACAAATTCCCGAACTGGATGTAAAAACTCAGCTAGTACTCAACTAGATGAAAACACATTACACCATTCCAGCCCAATGTGGACGCTTGACACAGAGTCTGCGAGCTCTCGCGCAAACATGCACACACAAAATCTCAAACCCTGTCCGAAACAGGGCTGTTCAGGAAGATGGATAGGACCAACCCCATGCCCTCCTCCTCCAAGTGGGAATCCCAATTGTCGTCTCATCAATCTGTCCCTGCTTCATTGTCCAGCTTTATAAGGAAAAGTCTTGGTCCGAAAGGCTCATGTCTGAATCTCGAAATTCTGGACCTCTACAGCTCTCCGAAAACTAATCCCGAGAACAGAACCTGAATTGCAACGCGATGCCCTCTAATCCTCAAAGCTAATTCTTGTAAGTCCTTGACCCTCAGTCTTTTGACTTTGAAAGTATACCAAGTCCCAAAAGCCGTGGAGCCCATGAGCCGCTGTTCTGAAACCCTAATTCCTGAGCCCGGAACTCGATAAGCCCTAAACCTTAAAATCGAAGTCCTAAACCCTCAGGGTATTTTCTGAATCAAGCCGCCGACGGGTTGATGCACGCTGGCATTCTGCTTTGAGCAGAAACCAGGCTACAGGTTCAAAGCCAAAGTTAGACGTGTGCACACGCAATATGTATGTATATTTATATATATATATATAACAGTATAACCCACAGCCACCTGGACTATGTATGTGTGTATGCATGCATGCATGTATGTATGTATGCACGTATGAAT